GACTCAAGCAGGGGGGGCCCCCCAAGGGCCCCCCCCCCCCCCCCGGCCAGCCGGGCGTTCCACCTGACTTGCCAGTGCCAGTGCCGCCTGAGTCCGAGTCACTCACTCGCATAGGGGACGGCCTCCCTTAGCGGCCTCCCTTCGGCCGAGGCGAACTCGCCTGGCCACCGGGAGGCGTGCCGCCCGCGGGCGCCCCGCCCGCCAGCAGGCCCTGCATGGCCGCGGAAGAACGAATGCGCGATGGTGGCTTCCACTTTGAGTTCCATTGGCGGCATCGGCTGTGGGCGCGAACGAGTCGATTCGCAACACTGGTTTGATTTAATGTTGGTCCGTTTACTAGTAGTCTGACCAGAAATATCGATCCGAGACGGATATTAGCGCTCGGGATAAAAGGGGAAACAATGCGGGCCATGCTCCTGCCAATCTTGCCTCGAGAGGTAGTTTTCGGGAATTGCGGCTAGTATGGCGGCTCCTTGAAAAGCGAGGAGACTGGGCTCGCTTGGATGAATGACACTGATGGAATGCGGCAATAGCGGATCGACCTCACGTTTTAAGCGGTCACAAAGGCCAGCCAGGCGTGAACCACCACCACAGAGAACTATGTGCCGTGAGAGTGGCGCTCGTAAGCGTGGGTTGACGTTGATGATAGCATCAGCAATGATTTCGTGAACTCCACACTGACGAAGACTGATGTCTTGGGGAGAGAAGAGGAGTTCGGGAACATAGAATCGCTCAGACTCAAGTCGCAGGAACTGGGGCATTGCATCTGTTGGCGTTCGTCGGCGGCGATAATCAAATTTAACCCCCTCCTCATGAGATTCCATCGATACAGCAGAGTGTGCGAGGCGCGCATAGCCTTGATCGATGCTTTTGAAGTCAGGAAGGACGTACTCCGCATAGTGCGGACCGGCAGCACCACGTTCGTGGGTTGTACCATCACATGCTGTAAGATCCTCTTTTGGTTCTTGAGATACAAAGCACAGGTGTTTCTTGAGCTTATCTAGGATTACACATTCGTTCGACATATTATATTGTCGATAGCTCACGAGATCACGGAGGTAGCCAGTCAGGAGCTGACCGCCGATATCTATTCGGCGTATCCCGCTTCGAATCGGAGACCCGGCAACGACTGGTGTTATGGTTGTAGCCGTGAGTCCGCAGTCGACAACGAGACTTGCCTCCTCGATATTTCGTGGCAGGATGCCCTCGCCAGGTGTTCTATTTCCCCGATCTAATTGTGCAACTGCCGCGGCAACGCAAAGCGGAGCAGCCATGCGGCAACGTCCCAGAAATTCAAAGTCCTCAAATAACACTTCGTCTGTTGTTTGCTGCACTGAAGGTGGTGCTAGGACTGACTCTGTCACCATCACCTTAGACTCTCTCGTCTCACATCCCACCTCGTCAAAGCATCGCTCCCAAATATCCTTTTGGCATCCAGCATTTACCAAGATTCCATGTTCCAGCGGTCTCGTCACTTCCAACTGCGCCAAATTCTTGATGCTGTGAATTTCGTCCGCAACCAGCACTCGAAGTTGCTGTCGCGGCCTCGCAGTGCAGTTCGGCGCAACAAATCGTGGCGATGTGTCACCACAAAACCCAACACGCACTTCATAGCTCCCGTTGTCCAGGACACACGGTAGAGCATCCATATAGCAGTGCCTTCAGCTTGGCAATCTTGGGCCTTGGCACGGCAACCCGCTTGGGAGAGCATGACGCCGAAGCTTTGCTTCTCGGCCTCGTACTCAGCCCATATCGAGTCGATTTGGGCGCGGATTGGCGCGGCGAGTCCGCACGTCCGAACGCCGAGCAGCGCAGTGGGCTTGCATGCCCTCGTTCTCGAGAACGCGGTGGGCCGGGGCAGCCCATTTTCGGTCCCGGAATTCTTCGACGCTCGCTGTGGGTGCACGATGGACTCCCCCCGGCAAGATGCGGTGCTTCGGGGCCGGCTCAGGGGTTGGCCTCGGCGGGGAAACACCGCGGGTGGTTCCAGAGAGCCGCATCGGACGAACCTGTGGCTCGATCGCGCTGGCGGGGAACGCGGCCGAATGCTGCTCGTCGGCAAAGGTGCACAAGGTGGCGGCCAGCGGACGCGGCACTTGGTCCGCGGCGTCGTGGGGGATGTGCGACGGCTTGCTGGGGCTGAGGAACGCCCGAATCGGCGAAATTGTCACTGCTCTGCGTGGTCCGGGCGTCGCGCGACGACGAGGTTCGCCAGGCCCAGCAGCAGCTCCTCGGGCATCTACGATGCCTGCTGGAGCCGCCGGAGACCACGACGGACGTGGGGGACCCGCGGGGCGCGAGAAACGGCATGCGCAGCACCCAGAACGACGCCTACGGCAACCTGCCCCTGCTGCCCCGCGCCAGCCCCGGCGCGGCGCGCGCGTTGCGCTTCCGAAGGAGCTGCGCGTACCAGCCGTAAGTCGGGGCCCCGCGCCACCCGAGCGGGGGCTGCGAACCCGCGCAAAACCGCGGCCGCAGGGGTCCGTTGTGCCGGCGCAGGGGGGCTCAAAACCCACCCACAAATCGAGGGGTTTTTCGAAGTGATTTTGTGGGTGAGCGAGGATTCGTGAAGTGGGTTGCCGCCCCAAGCCTTCAGGGGGGTCGGACCTCAGGCGAGCCAAGGGGCTGGTGGGCGGGATAAGAAAATACGACGGGCCCGCGCACGACGGTCCGGCCCCGGACG